CAAAGGTGAAACACGCGGCCATTCAATGGTGCCCCGGAGGGACAGAGAGCAAAGTAGATTCTTACACGGTACGATCACGGTAGCCGGAAGGGTGCGGATAGAACGGGAACTCGATCTTGCCCCCGTGTGCAGTAGACAGGGACGGAGAAATAATTACAGAGACGCCCCGCCGATAAATCAAGATGCACATCTCCCCTTCCTCTTCCTCTTCTCTTCGCTCTCCTCGCTCGAATCGAAGGGATTTTGTATCCTTCTTTTCTCCTCCCCGACTTTCTCTCTCTCTTTCTCTCTCTCTCTCTCTCTCTCTCTCTCTCTTTCTCTCGCATCACTCCTCCGTTAAGATGCACGTTTCTTGCTACGCAGAGCGTAGAGAGAGAGTAGTGTCTTTATTACGCTCGATGCTCCACGCCGCATTCTACAGGTTGATTCATCTTTTGGAGGAAGGGGGAGGGGGAAGCGAGAAGGTTGGAGGCGCGCGACGAGATGTTGGTGTCTCGCTTGACGTGGGCGGTAACGGGTATACGGGGAGGATAAAGAGAGTGAGAGGGATAGAGAGAGAGAGAGAAGGTTGAGAAACTCGTTGTAAGTGATTCCATTCGTAAGGAAACGTTCCGTTGGCTGGCGCAAACTCGCGCGATCTCTCGAGCGAGCCACTTTTACGCTCGATGCCTGCCGAGCACGCGTTTTGTAGCGTTTTAATCGTAACCCCCTCTCGTTTCAGCCCATTTCTCTCGGCCCAACGTGATCCTCCATCAGCGGCTCGGAATAATTAACGTGATCGTCTTCTTTTTGAGAATAGGTATTTCGATTCTGAGAAGATGCGCGAAGATCTTTCCTCTCAAATATGTTTTTCTCCGTTTTCTCGTTTCACGGAGGTAATACGGGATAAATGTTTACCGGGAAGTGATTAAAATTAGAGGGGAAAGAACGGGATTCTGCGAAAAGATGGGTCTTGTTGTTTCTTTAAAGTAATATTAATTTTTTTCACGTATATTCTTATCGCCAATTCTATTTTTCAAATCAAATATATATTGACTTTGCGACAATCATTGCCTATGATGTTTCCTTTCGATTCTCAATCAATCGCACAACTTTTTATTCAACGAAAGTGAAACTTAAAGATATACGTAACAATTCCAAATATTAATCAAGATAAGAAAAAAAAAATATATATATATATATATACATCCATGTGTATATAGACGTAGAAACAGTCTATACAACAATGTGCATTGTTGAATACATCTCACAGAGCGATAAAGTCATTCCTGTAAACGATACCCCCGCTGTATGTATCCTTCTGTGTATCAATAACGCGTGTATAGTTTACGAGCGTGCGCGTGCCACAGCGGAACAATAAAAATCGCGTATAAGTATTATGCGGAGTCGGAGTTCAAAGACTGGGTTGATAGATTCCGTGGAACGGCTGCTATTGTTAACCGTGAACAAATACGTAGCGGTTTTCGACATTCCACCGGGTGTTGAAGCACGGGTAGGTAGAAAAGAGGCGAAGGGGGAAGGAAAAGGTCGAACGTGCGCAATCAGGTTCCCTTCTTCTTCACGCCACCTTCATTACCGGTGTTCGTCCCCCGAGGTTTACGGTCAGAGTAGTATCTGTCCCTGTTACCCAGGTCGGTCACGATGACCCTTTATTCCGCCTTGGAACACCTCGCCTCTCTTTCCCTCTTTGCCGTACGAAACGTGTTCCTTCCCCTTCTGGAATCGTATTACATAATGCCTCGTAACGACTTTCATTAACTCGCGTCACGATACGCGTATATTATACAAACAGTCCATAGATTCGAGCGCAGATAAATATGGGCAATTATTTCTGATTAATTAGCCAACATTCGTTAGCCGGCTATAATTCAAACGGAGCCGGATCGAGGGGACATTTGCCCTGTCGAGGATTTTATTGGGCGTGGAAAAAGAATTCTTGTGAATTTATAAATAGCTTCGATTGTTCGAGCGTTCTCTATCTTCCGTGTGCCGAATAGTGGATAGTTGGTGACTTGGGATCAAGTTCAATGTTTTTGTGAGTAAATTTTAAAGATTAATAGTATTGGCAAATGTAATTACGGTTGTTAATAGTGAAAATAATACAGTATATAATACATACGAATATTTCTCGACGATATGTCAAATTACTCTACTACTTTACTTTAGGTAAATTTTTTTACTTTGAATACTTATAAAGTATTATGCAAAATGGTTTCGAATTTTTTTGAAAAGTAAATTTTTAAAGATTCTCAAATTCTTTGTGTAAAAACAAATTCAATTAATATTGATGAAATTATGTTAATGTTAAAGTTAGAGTAAAATATTGTAATAAATATTAGAACTGAAAGTATTTTGCATGCATCCTTTGATTTCTTATCCAGGAATTTTAAACATCTATAATTTACGTTATTACACACTAATAGAAGATTCAATGATAATTTTCTAATAACAGTATACGTATAGGAGATAATCAGGTTTCATAAATCATATTTTTATTTTTGTGTAATTCTTAGCTTACCAATTAAGTGTATATTTAGAAAAAAAGCATTTCATTTAATAAGAATAATAATAGGGTAAAATAATCGCGAAATAATCAGTTTCCTATATAATATATTTATAAATAAATTTATGTACCTTGTCTTTTTATTGTATCTCTTATTCACAATTCCATTTAATAAACTCTCCACTAATATTCAGATGATGTAATTCAATTTCACAAAAGTCATTTTACAATAAAATTTATTTCACGATTAATTTAAATCCCCAAATCAAATCTATCGATATTATATATAAATTAGTATTAGTAATTAATTATATAACAAAGAAAATCGCCTCAAACCTACTCAAACCTATTCAAACCTACGCAAACCTACTCAAACCTACGCAAACCTACTCAAACCTACTCAAACCTACAATCCTCATCATCCCTCCAACCCATCAATGATAATCGATCAATAAAAGAATTCGTAACAAAACCCTTTGATCGCGCAAACACCGTCAAACATCAATCCAGAGTAAAAAATAATAGAAAATACAAATCCGTCGAAAGCATAAATCCAAGACGTGTACGAAATTCCGTGGCAAGGGAAATCCGTGACGGGTTTGCACAGTAACCCAGGTCGTTTCTTCACGCCGCCCTCATTATTGTTCGTCCTTCGAGCTTTACGATCACGTGGTATACCCTGTCCCTCAGATTGGTCACGATGAGGCCCCGGCATACGTTCGTTTCCACTCGTGTACATCCCTGAATATCGACTCGAAAGACCGCCCGTCGACTCTCGCCAGCTAGGTTCTCCGCGTCTAACCTCCGTGGACGAGACGTGTAACGTGTTCCACGATTGTAGACGGTTGAGAACCGTCTCTTGATAGCGGGCGACACGGGTGGTCTCCAGAGGCCGCGCCGTGGCGGAACGAGCAAATACGCCGTCGGCATTTTTGACGGTGAAATCCGACTAGGTGGGGTCCCGACGTACCCCGTGTCAGACGTCATTCTCGTGCCCTTCCCGCGTTGCTTTTCGATGAATACGCGTATCCTTGGTTCGCGCTCTATGTGCCACTCTGGACACCCTCTCGTTTGGGCTCTGGATTCTCCGGATCGTTTTACGAACGATCAGGCGTGGAGTGTAAGGTTGACGTTTCGAGGATTGATGTATAGAGGGGTTGTGAAAATTGACAATTTTTAAAGATAGTAGATCTATGACGACACGTGTATAAAATATTTTGATTTATAGGATCGGGTAATATTGTATTTTATATTGTAAAAATAATCACGTAGAAAAAGTGATGAATGTTAATTGCCAATTTGTTTGGAGGAATTAATTATAATAGCTCTTTGAGAAATATAGGATTCACTATAAGATAGATCGTTTGATTTCATTTATGTAATATTTATCTATTTGTCTTTCGATTGTTTTTTGCAAAATTAATATAAAATATTACAATAATTATAATTGGCAATATTTAATTATAATATATCGAGATAAAAATTACAATTGTAATGTTAAAAGGAATTAATGTTAAATGGATAAGATAATTTAACAAATTATTTACTCGATTCATTGGCTGGAACACCAACACTTCGTTACGATTAATATATTTATTCGAACACACAGTGGACATCTAATGACTCGTTCAGACAAGATCGATGGGGTTGTGCCGTGTTCGTGATGGCGAGGGCGACGGTTTCGACCCATAACAGAGTGCTATTTCCATGTCTCCTTCTGGGAACGCTTTCATTGGTACCTTGCCAGAAATTTTTCCCGGTATATATCCGTAAAGCTATAGAAACGTGTGTTACGACACCGGGTCGCTCTCGATGTTTCTCTTCGAGGAATCGTCCCGAGCATAAACATTACCAGCCCGTCGAAAGCTTAAAGTGGCACGAGTCGCGAATAAAGCGACCGGCCAATCCCGATGGAAGCCTCGTGACTTTGCCCAACCACGATTCCAGCCGGTTGAAAGGGTCCAGGTAGTGCGTTTCCCCTTTGAAGAAAGACAACTGCGATCCAAACCTGTATTTTAGACGCCAGCTCTTTTGACGAATTACCAGAAATTACCAGAAACTATCCTGCCGTTCCAGGCTTAAAAAAAAAAAAAAAAAAAAGAAAAAAAACAGTGATACAAATTCTTTTTGAAATGTGAAAAAAATTTATTAAGGTTCGGAGAATCAGTGAAATTTTTAAGGAAAGAGATTCATCCTTAATTCTTCGCTTGACTTTTTAACGGAAAAGGATCTCAGAGAGGAATTAAATTCGTAAAGCCAACAATTTTGCGAACGAATATATGTATTACAAAATAATATTGTAGAAATATTTTAGAGGGTAAAGATTTCGAATTTTTTTCTTAAATTATTTAGATTTTTAGATTTTAATTTTTAAATTAAATTTAAAAAGGATGAAAAATTATTCTCTCCAAGTTATTCAAAGATAAACTGAATATATGTTGTTGGACCAGATTCTTTTATCGAAATTCACGCAACGTGTGGTATTTTTTGATCGTAGAAGGCGGAAGGTTGCAAAAAGAGTTGAGCTACGCTTCGGAAGCATTGGGTGAAGCAGCTGCCTCGACGCATCAACTCGTGATTCAGACACCGAAGGATCCTGGAGCGAATATTTTGCACCCTGCCGCACTCAAGGAACATTTAGCGATCCTGAAGGCGGCGACGCAGGTCACCGTACGCTTATTCGATACGTAAGTATCTTTTTCTTCTTCCTTTTCCATTCTATTATATATCACCCCAAGTATGAAATGTCTAACGAAGTCTAAGCAAGAAAGAGGCACACGTGTTGATAGAATTTGCACTTGATTTTTCATTAGAATCATACGATAATTATATTATTATATTGTATTAACGATTATTATTTGTTGCCAAATGGCACAATGTGTTTCAAAAGTTTACAGTTAGTAAAAGAATTTTGGAAAAATTCATTAAAGTATCTATTTTTGGATTACATAGTTGGGTTTCAAAAAAATTATATAAGTTCTAAATTTTAATTTATCTTGCGATATATATAGTAGTATAGCATTATAGAATTAAATAAAATAATATTCAAATTGAATAAATCTTATTTCATCTATAAACGATTCTTCAGAAAAATATCACGATTAAATCTTATTAAAAATAAGATCGATTAACATCGATAAAAAAAAATTACTTTTAAACATCGAGTTCGATCTCGAACACTGTACGCCTATTTTCTTGCAAACTTCGTGGACACCCTGTGAATGCCGAAGAGCGGCTAAGTACGAGAAACGATTGCCGTCGTTCCGAGTTTTTCTCGGCCGCTCTCTTTCCTAGCCGCTGTTATCGGCGAGACGGGGGTTAAAGGGATGCAAAACTTGTATTCATGAATGCATGTGTTCCGTGTCGCTTGCAGCACGTGGAAGCTGAAAGACATGTGTTACGCGCTCAACATACCCAACTTCGACATGCACTACATCGACCAGGTAATTTAGAACTACTACCACTTTACGTAGATGTAAGTAGATATGCGGTGTCACGTATTCGTGTATGTCGACTATTCACGTATTCGACGCGTGAACTACGATATCGACGTTATTGTGCTCGCACTGTGACTCCTCGATTTCCATTAGGAAATCTCGAAACTAGCGATGGCTACGATAACCGTTCTGATCACGTTATGCAAGGATAGACGTTTGCAATAAGATAGTTTATTTATCTATTTGGATTAAACATCCAAGACGAGTTAATTTTTATTAAAAGTTATCTACAATTTTTCACATTGGAAGGAAATTGGTGAAATTATTATTTCGTAATATTTGTTGATACGTCTTCTTCATTTAATTTTTATATCATAACGTCTTTATTATTGTCCAGTAATTTGGTGAGGAAATAATAGTTTTATAAAAAAAAAAAACATGAATTTTTTTTAATTCTTTTCCTTATTCGTTTATACACACATATAAATATTACTCTGTTTATGTGCATTACGAAGACGATCATATATCTGAAGTGACACTTGGCAGTTGTTCAAATAGTAGGAGCTTAGCCAGAGTTCAGTTAACCCTTATGTCAACACCCTTTTATGCATTCAGCTTAAAATTTCGTATCTTCCTGTCATAATATTTTCAAACCCAGCCAAATTAGCATCCCTTCAAACCTCGCTGTTTACAATTGCCTTTAAAATTTTGTCACTTAGAAAATTATCGATCTTGAGATTAGAAATCTCAAAGCATTGACATAACACGCGAATATATTTGAGAATTTCGAAAAAAATGGACACTGCATTGAGAATACATAGAATTATCTTCAAATGTATTCATACTCTAAAAGCATTCAATCCTTAATCGATCTGTCTATTATATTTCGTGCGTTAGAAATTTTCATCTCTTTGAAACTCGAATCAGGCGCTAAACTAAACTTCGTTCGAATATATAAACATAGATTTATCATCGATCCAAAACAAAATAAGCAAAGTAATAATAACAACGGGAACCGAAACAAATCGGGAAAGATTCTCAGAAATGTTTTCGTAAAATCGTGGCCATCGCTAGGTGTAGTAGCACGATGTCCTCTTCGCTTGCCTCCCAACATCCAGTTACCGGATCGTAGCCGAACGGCTCACGTGCAGTCGTAAACGTCGAAAATTGAATACGATGGTTGAAAAGCCAAACGAACACCGGTTTGCGTATAAGTCGTATCACGCGTGCTACAACGTTTCTTGTGCGCCGCTAACGAGCAGACGCGTTAGACTGGAGGAAAAGGGAAAACCAAGAAATTAACGCGTGAGAGATACTTGTATCGAATATTGCGTTTCCGCGATATTAACGCGGAGTTTCTCCATCCTGCTCTCAATTTAGTGCTCCAATTTTTTTTTTTATTCCGGGAAAATTACCGATTTTCGTTCCGACTTTCGTTTTATGAAAGATCAACGTCGATTCAGTGAGTTCATTGGCAATGAGATCGAGGAGAAATTTTGCTTTCGATGATTCGAGATAATGTTTTGAAATTTTTAAGTATCTATTCTTTTCTTTTCTGCGTTTAAAAAGATAATAGAAATATTTCTTGGAATAATTCCAAGATTTAATATTTAATTCCTAATATGATATATTGATTTTATTCTGATTCAATTGGTTACAATTGAAATACAAATTTGTTAAAATTTATTCGGGGATTCGAACAATTTTTAATTGTTTTAAATTGTATATATATTTTTTATTAGAAATAATCACATTGAGATTCCTTACAAAATATTTGGCAATCTCCAGGAACCAGAAATTTGAAGAAACAGATTATAGATTGTACTTACGAATAATAAAATACAATGTAACAATTTACAATATTTGTGAAGAATGTAGGGTGTAATTTATAAGAACGAAGAGTTAAAAAAGAACTATGTGATTCATCAAATTTCAATTCCGTAGTTCCTGTTCAATGATAGATGTTCCAGTATGCAGGAATTGCCCGAAGCATCCGACTAAATCACATGGCGGTGTCTTGTATCTCAGGCAAGCAGGAATATTATTATGCTAAGACTAGGTATAGGGTGCTTTATTTTTAACGCGATCGCGTCTTTGGCCTTTAATAACTAAAATTGCTGTTTACATGAATGTACAATTGAAATAGATTATAATATACATTTCATCTCGATCGAGAAAAATAACGTTTCATAAGTCAAAAAAGTATTTTCGAATTTATTAAATCTGTCATACGAATAAAATATTTCATTAGTAAAAGTTTAACAATAAAGTAATATCAATGAATAACGATGAATAATAAAATTAATATCATAAATTTCGAGCGAAATCATTTCAATATTATTCTCCTATTCGTTGAAACGTCTATTTTTTAGCGCATTTTTGAGTAAGAATATTTTACGTGTAATTTTTTATTTAAAACAAGGTCCATGAAAACCAGTGTTTACGGATCTTGAATATGCATGCGAAAAAGATAATAGAGGGGCAACAACACGGATTGCATGTGATGCAATTTAGTACAGTTCGCGTTGAAGCCCCGTTATTATGCAAAGCTAATTCCACTTTTATACATTCAAACTCTCGATCATTCTATGTCTTTCCTTTTTTATTATTTCCACAGTCTTATACATTACTCGTCATAATTTCAATATTAAGCAAAATGTGTTTACATAATGTATGTAATAACAATACATTTATACATGCCTTACTTTTACTTTCTTTCTCGCTTTACACACTTTATTTTTTAGATCTACTTTCAATCTCTCAGACCCAAGGAAAAATTTCACGAAAATTAATGAATAACAATCAAAAATAGATATTATCTTAAACGACAATAAAAAGTAAAGTTAATTATGAATTAAACAATATCCTGTTAAGTACATTTAAAAGTACTTGGAATCTAATAGTATAACATTTATTTTCGAATCTATTAAGTCTATTAATCAATCTTTCCTGCAAGCTTAAAAAATAAAAACATTCCACCCTTACAAACTTACAAGATTAAAATATCCTTTCTTCCTTCCTTTCAAAAACTTAACCATTGACGAGTTTAGTGAAAAAAAAAAAAGCTTAACGCGTTCTCGATTAAATTTTTGTCGCGGAAATTCGGGGACGACAATGTAACGAATCGTCGTTGTCCTATTCCTCGAATCCTATCCAAATTCGTAAATCAAGAGGGCCGAAAAAACGGAACGCTTCGTTGGAGAGACCGCCCTATTCGAGTTTCTGAGAACACGCAGGTGGCCTTCCATAATGCCTCGCTACCAAGAAAAACCTTATGGCGATCGTTAGTGTCCACTATCGAAGAAAAGGAGAAATAATCGTAAATTGGTGCCAGGGAACGATTCGTCATCGAATAATCCATTAAATACATCGGACCGTGACAATTTCTTTCGTCTATCGGTGTCTAGGAGGGGTGTCTTTGTGTTGCGCCGATCGAGGTTCATCGAGTAGAACGATTTGTCGAATGAGAAATCACTGAATCGATCGTTTCCATAATGTATTCCTTCTTCACCTAATCGTATCCATCCTTTGAACGAGTATTTTTAAGTGCTAGAAAAGTATAAGAGAATTATTGCGAAACCGCCTTAATGTTTTTAATCCTATTTGGCCATTTTTTTGAACATATGGATTGTTGGTGAAGAAATTTTTCTATTGTTATTTGAGAATTATCTCTCGAAAAATTAGAGAATTAGAGAATTGAGAATCAAGAATATTAAGAAGGATTGATATGTGTATATATATATATATATATATTTTTTTTTTACTCAAATAGAAATAGAATAGATTGTAAACGAATGCGTTTAATTTTAGATCTTCGATAGTATTATGCCATGCGCGATCATTACACCCCTCGATTGTTTCTGGGAAGGTAGTAAGCTGTTGGGACCAGAATACCCCGTGCACATACCGTAAGTATAAGAAAAGTAATTCTGACAAATTTTTATTTGAAATATATTAGGCTTTATAATTTTTATAATTCACTATTACATTAATTTCTTTCCAATTTTTTTTATTTTACCAGAATTTCACACTGATTTATATATATCAAAATTTAGGCTCAATGACGAAATTATTCATTTTTCCTTTCAATTATTGTTCCATGATAGCCGGACGCAGACGCACAAGCCTGTCCAATGGACGAATCTCAATCCATCGGGGATGCTCGACGAGATGAAGAAACTTCAGTTCATGTTTCCCTTCAAAACTTTGGAGGACTACATGAAGAGGGCCGGGATAACGAACGGCTACCAAAGCAAGCCGTGCCTCGACCCAACGGACCCGGAGTGTCCGGAAACCGCGCCCAACAAAAAATCCCAGCAGGTAAGCAAGCAAGCAAGCAACCAACCAACCCGGCCAAACGCACCTTGTCTCCAAGATTGTAGTACGAGCCCACCGATTAAGGTGAAAGTCTTCGCGTGTAATTGTTGATACACGGGTAGCCCGCGTTTCGTGGCTTCGTCTTTTGATACCGACAAATTCGGATTAAATTGCGCAAAAAGGATAACCTCGTAACCGTTGCTGTAAATTAGCTTGGTAAAAAGCAGCTTGGAATCTACGGGCTTTTCTTGCCTTCCTTCCATCCTTTTTTTCTTTCTTTCTATTCGTATCTTAGGCTTTTTTCCCCCCCACGTCATCGTCACGTTCCTCCATAATGGTTAACAAATATAAAATATTCTACTGGAGGAAATAAAGGTGTTGCTCGGGGAGAGAGAATTAAAATAACTTTGAATTTTTTACTTTTCTTACATGTTTTTATTGAATATATTATGAATGACGTTTTTTTTTTTATATTGGGAGAGATATTTCAATCTCTTATCATTTCTTTTTTTTTTTTTTTTTTATTAAATATTAGATACTCAGATTCATTTCTTGCCATTCAAACAACGGAAGCTACGCTACTTTTGTCATTTTTTTTATTCTTTTTTAAATTATATTTATGCATTATGCTAATTTTTAGAAATGAATTTTATTTAAGATATAATATCATGTAATAAAAATTTAATCTTTTACAATCCTCTCTCTTCGAAGTAAATATCGACTTACATATTCCGAATTAATAATAACCCATTATTTTTACTGTTATTTAATTTTACATCCCCTCTACGTTATCTCAATCGCTTAAAAATTTTGTTTTATCCAACGAAAGCATAGAACATTTCTCATAATTCTCTTAATTTTCATCTTTTTCTACAAATTCGCGTGTTGGACGAATATGTACGCGCATAGATCGCCGTTGATTCATTGGTAAGCATTAGTATCCCAAGTAGCAAGTTCGTGACACGCGTATTACACGGCGTGACTATTGGTAACGTTTGCGCCAGAGCGTAGCGAGGCAAAAAGCTCGAGAACCACTTATTAACACGGTTGTTCGTACGTCGGAAGGATTGATGTTATTACTCATAGGGCTACGTGCAATTATACCGGCTCCGTTTATTAGCTTTAATTCTGTCTCGGTCTCTTTAGCAGAGCGAGATTTATGACCCCGATATCGGCATTGCGGAAGGCCAATGCACCAGAGATTGATGCACGTGAATAATCGTCGCGTAATCAATGTTACGACACGATGGAGAATGTTAAATTAGAAAGCGATCGAGAAGTTTATAGAGCGTATATATACGGGATGGCAATATATATTGAATCATTGGCTGGATGATGACGAAATATTATGGAAATATATAATGCATTAACCTTCAAGCGCTTCCCATATAATATTTATCGATATAACATATCCAACGTAAGATCATTTTCATTTCTCTGTAAATTCCAATTCGATTCAATCGTCTTCGATAAATTTCCCTGTGAAGAAAATTCGTTATTCAAAAAGGGACTATCTCTCGACGTTGGCCAGGGCGATAAAACGAGGTCAGCTAAAAATTTCACGCGGCTCTAGCCTCTCGGATCTACCCAAATTGCTATCGAAATAGCGCCTCGTAGAGGCGGAATTACCGAGGCCGCGACCGGTACAATGTAGGGGAAGGCTGCGGACGTCTAAGATTCGTTTCATAGGATCGATGTCCGGAATAACAAGTGGCCACTTGGAATTCCGCGGCCGGTGACGACCGGTTGCGTGCACGTACCGAGTCCGGTAGGTCCTGGACAGCGACTCGTCGATTCCGCTTTGATGTCCGCGAAGTATTCCGTGGCCGGAGCCGGCAACCGCAGTAATGAATATTTAATTGACCATGCCTGCCTCGTCTATGCACGCATGCGCGTATACCGCAATCAAAATCGAAAATTTTTCACCGCGTGAAACGCCGATAAGGACTTGGCACGACTTTGTGCGCGCCGCGAGGATTTACGAACCTCCCTTTGGAGGAAGGCGGAAGTAGGGAGAAGAGGATGTGGAAGGAGACACGGTAGATATTCGGATGAGGCAGATATTCGTCACGACGGATATTAAATTTTATGATCGGCTGCTTGAAAGGGGAGGAGAATCGATGGGGATGATGCGTTTATTTGAATTGTTTGAATGTAATGATGTGAACAGATTTCGTTAACTAAAAACGAAGGAGCATTGCTCTTAAAGTATTTCATTATTTTTTTTACACTTTGACTTCGGCAATACGTTCGTTCATCTTAATCTTAATTTAATTAAAATTAAAATTTTATTCATTCCCGCGCAAATATTCTTGTTTCCATCGATCAAATCTAGATAGTATCTTCGTGTAGAAAAATCATAAAAGATGCGAACTTAACGTCGCTTAACTCGACATAAACCGTATAATAAAAATGTGTGCAATTTAAAGTCCATAATTTTCAATTTGAATATTCAATTGAGCCGAAATACTGAAATATCGATAATTTTGTTAAGAATGATGGAGGATGTTCTATGACTTCGAGCCTGAGTGTACGAATTTCACACGGGGACCATAAGGTACCCACGAAACGATCAATTTTCGATCGTAAAGTCGCGAACGACGAGAGAGAGAGAGAGAGAGGGAAAACGGTACAGCCGGAGAGCGGCGGTGAATGAAACGATTCCCATGCGAGGATCGGTGAATGTGTATGCGAGTCGCGTGGGCCGCGGCAGTCGGGGCCGGCATTAAAATAATAAAATCGAGAGATGCGCGCCATTATTGAGCCACGCCGGTGGTCGTCGACATTACGCACGCTTTTTCGTCGCCGACGCATTACGCGGCCCTCTCCTTTTCCCGCCATTAACATACACGGCCGAGTTCCTCGCGCGGAAATCACGCGGACGGGGATCGCTTCTCGGAACGTTTCAGGATAGGAAGTGGAGAGATTGTACGCGGAAATGACAGGTTTCTCGGTTGAAATGGTAATGACAGCGGACACCGCGCGGAATGATCTTTCGCAAGGGAGAAATTTCGATTTGATCGATTGCAATTGGTGGCCGGATCGATACAATACGAAACTTCTTTTTTGAAGTAAGATGGAGTATTGGCGCATTTTTTTCGATGGTGAAAAATTATGATTTTTCTTATTAAACAATATAGATGATTGTTATTTCGAAGCTTAGTTATTTTCCTTAATGCTTTTTTGTTTTAATAGATATTAGTTGAATCAAGATTAATTAATTAAAATTAATTCAAATAACATCATATTATAAATTTCTAAAAAAAGACTCGCAATTTTAGTTATTTATGTAAGTTAATTTATTCTATTGCTGCTATCCCTAATTTTTACTTTTAGATCAAGATATATTTTCTTTTCAATTCAAAGAAATCAAAAGCAACGAAGCGATGCAATTTATACACAAAGAAACGTATACATAAGTAAGCGGTTACTCCACCGAGTACACGTGAACTTGAAGCGAGCGAGAAAGGCAGAGCGAAAGGGAGTAGGGTGAAGGAAGAGGGGAAAAAGAGAAGGGAAGGAGAAATTGCAGGGGGAAGATACAAGGTGCGGTCAATTAATTTCGCATAATTGAAAGCATGGATTTATGTCATCCGATCTCGAAAGGGTGGAGAAATCGTATCTCTCCCCTCCTCTTTTTGCCCGTTTCACGCTCGTTTTTCCACCCTTCTTCAGATCTCCCTTGTTCTTACGCTCGACCTTACGCTCCCTTGTCCCTCTTCTCTTCCTCGAGCGTGATCTCCCTCATTTCTACTTCTATTTCCATACATGTACTTAAGATAATTACATTTAATGACCACGTGGTACGGTCAGCCCTCTCTGAAGCAATTCGAATGTTGCTGCAGGCATACACAATGAATCTTGTGCACATACCATATTGGATATTGTTTATTACACAAGAAGAAATATGTAATTGGTCCAGTTACCGTGCAATCAATCGTTTTTTTTTTTTTTAAATTAGAAAAGAAGCAATTACTATATTTTTACGAATCTTAAATCTTTATTCACTTATTTATTGTTTATCTTCAAGATATCGAAAATTATATTATTTTATTTTATTGATAAAATATGATTTATCCATTTTTATATACGATTTGAAATTGTGCGTTTCATAATATATACGTGACATCAATTTAGATTTAAAATCGAGAAATCTTTGAAAATCTCCCGTAATATTTCATAGAAGGAGCATGTATGTAGATTAAGTTTTTAGAATAAATAAGTGGAATAAAGTTTAGTTTTAACATTCTATAATAGCTTCCGATGACGGGAATATTTCATTTCGTAACATTAAATATGCGTCATTAAAGACACTAATGACAGAAATATTTTATTTCATAGCATTATATAGTCATTTCATAGTCATATATTGGCCATAGTGAAAACAAGAGGATTAATCGAATGGCTGGATGATTTCTTAACTGATCCGTTTTTTATTTAACATCAGATAAAAGAAATTCGACGTTTAATATTCATAATTTAGCATTTTAATGTAAGATAGAAGATAGAAGAAATTTTTAATATTCCAATAACATGACACGAAATGTATTTTAAGATTTACAGAATCACTCTGTTAAACCGCCCATTAATAAATTATTGCAATATTCAAATATTTATATTATCAAATATTCCGATAATCCAAAATTTATTGAGTTCTTTAAAAAAATCATACCGAACAAAAACTTCTCTTTTTTATATGTATGATTAAACATTTACAGTAATCAAAAATTTGGCTACAAATCTTTCGTATAAATCGAAAAAATTAGATTAATCAAATATTATTTGAATACAAGCAAAGATTAGAATCTCGATAATCGAAGAATACGAAAGAACAAATCAAAATAATCAAATCAAATAAATAACTAGCTCATACCTTGTAAAATAGCTTCGAGTAAAATTCAACCAATTAATCCTTACGAGCCTCGAAGCACCACTTTCATCGCTTTAAAATCAATTTTACCGAAAACAAAAAGCACATTCAACGAAACCATTCTCTCGAAAGC